TATATATATATATATATATATACAGATGCAATGCAGAAAAAGGTCTCCTAGAAGGCGTTGTTTGCTAGGGTTTAGTGTTTAGGGTTTAGTGTTGAGGGTTTAGGGTTTAGGGTTTGTGAGGCTCACCGGACGCGTTTTGCTGCTGCAGGGCAGTAGCTGCATGCAAGCCCCAAAGAAAAGAGGCCTTGAAAAAGAACGTCAACGCGAGAGAGAGATTCTTCTTGCAGCAGCCACGAGACACACTTCCCCCAAGCCTGAGGTGTACACGCAGACACCCTAAACCCTAAACCCTAAACCCTAAACCCTAATGTCTAGAAAAGCGAAACGAGGCTTGGAGCTGTGGCGCAGAGACAACGCATGCTGCTGCTGGTGCTGCTGCTGTTGCTTGTAGCAGCAGCAACACGCGCGCATGCAGCAGCAGCCACAGGCGTGCAGTATACGCAACAGCAACTGCAGCAGCAGCAGCATGCGTACATGGAGCAGCAAGCAGCAGCACGGATACATGCATGCGGCAGCAGCAACAGCAGCACCAAGAGCAGCATCAACATCAAAAGCAGCAGAACTAAAAGCAGCAGCAGCACCACCACCAAAAGCAGCAGCAGCAGCAGCAGCAGCACCAAAAGCAGCAGCAGCAACAACAGCAGCAGCAGCAGCAGGAGCATCGGTCTGACTTCAGGTCTTTGCTTGCTGAAGAGCTGGCTGTTGCTTGGCTGTTTGCGTTGGTAGTTTGCGAGAAGTGCAAATCCGTTTTCTAAAACCAGAGGGTCAGTGTAGTGCAGCAGCATGCGATCATATGCTGCAGCTAAGAGCCCTTTGGAGTGTACATACACCTCAGCAACGCTAGGAACTGCTAAAGGAATAAACCTTAAAGCCCCTAAAGACCAGCAAACAAAACTGCTCTCTTTATACACTCCTTCTGAACAGCTCAGAGCTTCAATCGCCAACTCAGGAACCCCGCAACTTGCCCAACGCTGAACACAACACAATCAACCCTAAACCCTAAACCCTAAACCCTAAACCCTAAACCCTAAGCAAGACAAAATACGTCTTGAACCGTTAACCCTTGACCCAAAATCTTAATCCATAAAACGGAGTATGTATGTATACCTTCTACACCCTAAACCCTATGGCTTCCAAACCCTAAACCCTAAACCCTAAACCCTAAACCCTTAACCCCAATATGATCGAACCTGTGCGAATTCATCTCCATCAAGGCTGGTGGCGAATACAAGCCTCCATACGAGTGTCATGAATTCAGCTAGAAGTCTTAATTCTTTTATTGCTGCTTCATACTGTTCTCGTGTTACATTTATTACTTCAGGTGCTGTCCCTAGCTTCTGCTGCAGCAGCATCGGCAGCTGCTGCTGCAGCTTAGAGCAGGCGCGCTTAAATGCAGCCATCTGTCCATTGCCTTGGGGCTTCGTAGTGGGTTCAGGTGATGCATTTGCTGCTCCTGCTGCAGGTGCTGGTGCTGCCTCGGTTGCTGCTGCTGGTGCAGCAGGTGCTGGTGCTGCTTCTCCTGCTCCTGCTGCTGGTGCTGCTTCAGTTGCTGCTGCATCTTCTGCAGCAGGAGTTGCTGCTGCGTGTTCTTCTGGCGTGTTTGCGGGTGTAGGTGTGGGGAGAGGAGCATCTGCTGATGCTGGTGCTGCTGCTGCTTCTGGTGCTGCTGCTGCTGCTGCATCTTGGGGTGTATGCACAGCTTCTTCTACTGCTGCTGCTCCCTTCAGAATCGGCTGCTGCTGCGGTGTTGCGGGGCCCCCATTGCAGTTGCTGTTTAAAACTGCCTCTGGGGTTGGTGCAGGGGTAGGAGGCTCCTGAACATCAGTCCAGCTCTGTTCTTGCTGCTGCTGCTGCTGCTCTTGCTGCTGCTGGTTGTCTGCTGCTGGTGCATCCTGCAGCACGTGCATCAGTGGTATGTCTTTTTGGAGTTTCTTCGCTTTACTAAAATATTTCTTCAGCACTTTGGCTGTTACTTCGATGCCCTGAGGTGTACATACACCAGAAAAGAAGAAATGCATTTATTGAGGCTTCTCGATTCGCAGACACGCGATCATACATACATAGATATATACATATATATATATATATATGCTTATATATGTATATATATATATATTTGTATATACAACTAAGTACAATATCACTTATTAGGCATTATTAATGATCGTTTTTTGCGTTATTTAGGATTTGAATTCTTCGTTTTTTTTAGAGTTTAGGGTTTAGGGTTTAGGGTTTAGGGTTTGGAGTGTACCCCGAGCTCGAGTAGACGTTCAGACGCCTCTTTAGCCATGCAAAGATGAACAATAATTGCAAGAGAAGAAACACAGAGCTGCACTTCATCAGGGGTTTGGCTTAAAGGACGGAGACAAATTTCTAAAGCCTTCGCTTCTAAGAGAATGCTCCGCGTCTGTAGCAACACAAACAAAGCAAAGAAAAGATAAATAAATAAATAAATAAATATATAATTGAATATTTATATATATATGTGTGTGTGTGTAGAAGATATGAGTAAGTTAGTATATATTGGGCATATGTATGATATAGGTATATGTATAAATATGTATATATATATATATATATATATTATTTGTATATATACATATATATATAAATCAGCAGAGGGAGAGAAAAGAAAGAGAAGAAGATGCAGGACAAAGAAATGAGAATGTAGATGAAGGGTACAACAATAAACAGCAACAAATACAAAAAAAAGAAAAGCAAAAGAAAAGAAAAGACAAGACAAGAAAAGAAAAGAAAAAGAAACAGAAGAGAAAAAAAAGAAACAAAAAGAAAAAGAAAAAAGAATAGAAAAAGAAAAGAAAAAGAAAAAGAAAAGAAAATAAAAGAAGAAGACAGAAAAAAGAAAAAGAAAAAGAAAAGAAAAGAAAAGAAAAAGAAAAAGAAAAGAAAGAAGAGAGAAAGAAAGACATTAATAAGCAGCACTCAATGCAACATAGACAGACGAAGGAGACATTCACAGAGACACACAAACAAATAAACAATAAAACAACAAACAAACAAACAGAGAGACAGACACAGAGAAATACAGAGACAGAGAAAAAAGAAAAAGACAGACAGAAAGAAAGACAGAGACAGAGAGAAGGAGACAGAGACAGAGAGAAAGATGTATATATATATATATAGAGAGAGAGAGAGAGAGAAAGATATATATATATATATATATATACATATATATAAATACATATATATATAAAGACACAGAGACAGAGAGATATATCGGCATACAGAGAAAAAGACAGGCCCATAGGCACACCGCTGGAGCGACAGAGACAGCGACAGCAGCAACAACAACAACAACAGCAGCAGCAGCAACAGCAGCAGCAGCAGAAGAAGAAGAACGTACAGGCTGTTGTCTTTCGACTGGGTCTAAGGTAACGAGCACAACTTCGAGGTCGTGCAGCCACTGCATAGCTTCTTGAGGAGAAGAAGCACCGCTGATTTTCATCAGCATCCAGAGAGATTTAAGTTGTTGTGGTGAAGGAGTTTCTTTATTGATAAGTTCTGTATGGGGTATTTGATAAGCATCTTTGTTGCTGCTGTCTTTGCTTTCTTCTGCTTTTCTCTCTGCTGCTGCAGCATCTATAGCGGTGTGCAGAGGGCCGCACACTGCTTGTCCCTTAGTCTCTGCTACATCTAGACATGCTGCTGAATCTGCTTCTTTAATAGCATCGCTTGCTATACAATGAGGGCCCCCAGGGGCCCCCAAGGCGTCTGCCTCTCTAGGACTAAGAAGCCCTGGTGTTGCAGTGCGGGGGGTTATTGCTGCTTTTAACGAAGAAGCACCTCTTTTTATCTTTTCATAGCCGCTCGCAATGCTCTGACGAGGAGAAGAGAAGGTCTTTAGCTCAGGTTTAAGAGAAACAAGACGCAAACGAAGCCCTGGGAGCTTGCCGCTGTTGCTGCTGTCGTTGTTTTTGCTGTTGCTGCTGCTGCCTTCGCAGCCGCCTAAAGCACCGGAGGGGGGAATCTCTGCTGCAGGCTCAGCTGCAGCAGCAGGTGCTGCTGCATCAATAAAAGAATCGTTCTCTACAGGTACTGCAACGGAAGGTACAGCAGCAGCACCAGCAGCATTAGAGCTGCCTCGCTGATAGGCTCCAAGGGTAGAAGGCTTGCACCCCATGGCTGCGGAGTTGAGGGAGAATTCAATAAAGGAAGCGGCAATAAAGTCAAAATTCTCTGATAATAGGGATAAACAAAAGAAAAATAGATGCGGAACAATAAGCTGCGCTAGATGGGGGTGTACGTACAGCTGGGCGATGCAGCAGCAGGCGGCTGCGGTTGAGGCTTCAAGAAAGAAGAAGAAAGAGAGGGGATTTGTTCTTTATAAGGGTTTATTAGGGCTAATAAAAACAGCATATACAGAATGTTTCTTCTTCTCTTTAGCATAAGATACACAGTGGGAGCAACTTTGAGGCAGCTGAGGTGTATCGACAGCTGACTCACCGCTACAGGCCAATGGGCAGCGAGTTGCGGGCGCCCTCATAGGCTTTCCTCAGTTCTGCTCTCTTAGAAGCAAAACCTTTCATTTTAAATGTTTTTCTATGTTATTTTATCTTTAAAAACCTTTAAAAGCACTATAAAATAAATATATTACACCCATTTAGACCAGCAGACGAAGGAGAGAGCCCGCACACCGCTGCCGACTGCAACACCGCAGCTGCACCATAAGCTGCATCTTTTTAATCTTTTTTCAAGTTATTCTTCTTTAAATAATCCACTTTAAAATTTAAATTTAAAAATTAATACCTTTTTAAATCCTTTAACGCAGAGGCCTCCACCGACTGCAGCACCCAACACACACAGCCGCTGGCGGCCAGCGGTAGAGCCGCTAGGCATCGCTTATTGTACGAATTTGAAGGAAAAAACTATTAATTTTATTTCCTACTTTTATTCCAATTGAAAATTTAAATTTAAATAGACGCACAACATACATCTTAAGCTGCTGGTTGATGATGCAGACAGACTATGGGCAGGAGGAGCGATGCAACTGTTGTTGCGATTGAAGCACTCGAGGTGTATGTACAGCTGAAGACTTGCTTTAAATGCAGATAATCAGTATTTAATAATTATTTTGGATCAACAAAAAGAGATGAAGCAGGGGGCAGAGAGAAACATAACCCTAGCCTTCATATTTCTGGCAGTTGGTGCTGCAGCAGCAAAACCAAACAGTGCGAATCATATCCTTGCTCCTTAAGCCATTTATATTGCTGCTGTTGCTGCTGTTGCTGCTGTTGCTGCTGTTGCTGCGCTGTTCGCCCGGCATGCGCCCTGCTGCTCCTTTCTTTGCTGCCATGCGTGGATATACAATAGTCGTAATTTGTAGTCCCCTACTGCTGCTGCTACTGCCGCTGGTATTGTTGCTGTTGCTGTTGCTGCAGCAGCAGCAGCTGCTGCTGCTGTTAGTTCTACGGATGTTAGGTTTACTTTCACTTTCAGCAGCACTTCTTGAAATATCAGAGCAGCAGACAGTCTTCCTCGCGTTCTTCATTTCTGGTTTTGTTTTATTTATGTCTTTCTCTCTTTTCTTTTTTAAATCTTCTTTATCTTTTATTTTAGTAACTCTCTTATTTGGTGGCTCTGCTGTGCTGTCTGTACAGCCGAGCGGCACTTCATTAATGATTGAACAGTTGAGGTGCGTATAATAGTAATTGAATCAGAAAAGAAAATAAATACAAGAAAAATCTTCTGCATCTCGATAGGGAGTTCTTTATATCTAAACCAAATTTACTGCATTTATTACATTTGCTGTTCATTATCTTATTATTTGTTATATTTCTCGAGATGTTACTCTGCTGTCTGTACACCTCGTAGAAGATTCTCCTTTTCGCTATTTATATTAACTGCAGGGCTTTCTTCTGTTCTCGCCGTTGTTTGTCAACAGGAGAAGGTGCAACTTTATTTAATTTAGAAAAACTTATATAAATGTATATGTATATACAGATGTGCATATATATATGTATATATATATGTATGTGTATATATATGTATATACATATGTATATGTATATATATGTATATATATATAGATATCTATGTTAGGTGGTATGTCATAAGTACAACGTACAACGCTATAAATATAATGAAGTAGAAGCATTTACTAACATATATATATGTATATATATGCATAAATATATGCATATTACTCATATCCAGAGCGTCTCCTTAATTGCTCTGGTCTAGAGGGAACTCATCGCAGTGTACCTCCACTAACTCCAAGCGCTGCTGCAGCAGCACCAGGAGTTGTGCTGCAGCTGCGGCTCCAGCTGCTGCTGCTGCAGCGCCTGTAGTTCTGCTGCAGTAGCTGCAGCGACTGCTGCACCACTTGCCTTGCATTCAGCTGCAGATTTGAAGTGCACATTAAGTGAAGAGAGGCATTACTGAGTGTTTAATAACTCTGAATAAATTCTCAGGTATATGGACAGCTGAACCCTAGAAGAACTGCAGAGACACCGCAGTAATTCTCGTTGCTGTGTACAGCAACAAGCTCACAGAAACGGCAGGGCTTTTGAATATATTTGCATTAAATGCAATAGATATAAATGTATATTTAAACAATATAGTTGAAGTAATATAAATGCGGTACCGGCAGGGTTCGAACCTGCGACCTTGTGGTTAACAGCCACACGCTCTAACCTGCTGAGCTACGGAACCTTCGGCAGTTTGCTAAACTTTGTTTTGAAATAAATATATTTTATTTAAATGTTTGTTTAAAGCATTTGTAGACATTTAAGTAATTATATTTAAATAGCTCCTGCTGGTTACGAGTTAAAGTCAGAATAAAAGGTAAGTGCATGCATGCATGCACGCGTGCAATAATACAAACCCTAATATATGCATGCAGACCTCCGTGTCTCCATTTACTTTAATAATAATAAGAATATTATTATTATTATTATTATTAATATTAAGTGAGTATAAAAGCTACAGGAGACCAATGGTCACGCTGCATGCAAAAGAAGCTCCTATGGATCGCGCCCCACAGCCTTCTTCATTTGTTTGTTTTATTGTGTTTCCTTCGTACTTCTTTTTGTATTATACTTGCAGCAAAAGTAATATATTTAAATGCAATAAATTACATTTAATAGCCGCAAGAACATGATTTGTTCTCCTGTCTTTTCTTCTCTGCACAGGCCCCCATCGGCATGCAGCCTATAGGTGCCAGCCATAGTAAGCCTTCGAGCAAAATATTATCTAAATAGATCTACTGCAGCCTCTTCCTCGTAAATGTTATTAATAAACCTTTTCAATTTTCTTTTTAGATGAAAAAAGGAGATTGTCTCCCCCTTAACTATTCGTGCACTTGTGTGCAGACAGACAGAGGCATTTGATAGAGCTTTGCTGTAACTGTAGCAGCAACCAACGATAATATTATTATAGCCATCATATATAAATAAATCTCTTAAATAATATTTTAATATTATATTATTCATTCTACTTATTGCAAAATAAGGCCAGCGAGAATGGCATACGGTTCCGTAGCTCAGCAGGTTAGAGCGTGTGGCTGTTAACCACAAGGTCGCAGGTTCGAACCCTGCCGGTACCGCATTTATATCGTATATTTAATATTAATTAATTAATAACTTTATATTGTTTATTCTGCTTAATTATAGACTCTTTAGCAGTACTTACACTTCCCTGCGTTTATATGCAAACAGGTAACACCCACAAAACAAACAATTAAACATTGTAAACAATATTATTCTGAAGAGTATTCTAATAGCATTATAGAGAAGCAACAAAGAAAATATAAGAATATAGGTTAAATGTGTATCTATATTTCCTAATATATATACACTATCGGTACCGGCAGGGATCGAACCTGCGACCTTGTGGTTAACAGCCACACGCTCTAACCTGCTGAGCTACGGAACCTTCGACAGTTTGCTAAACTTTGTTTTGAAATAAATATATTTTATTTAAATTATATTTAAATGCTGACGCTTATAGTTCATTGATTTCTTCTGCTTGCTTTTTCTAACCCTCTATCCTTCTTATCTACGATACCCACATCAAAAACCTCTTTGTATGTCCTTATATATATATATATATATATATGTATATATATATATATGCTTGCATCATGCATGCACTGATGCTTTTTTCTTTGCCTCTTCGAACAGGGGGTGGCTGGGGCTGTCTGTCGGTGTTGGTGTGGGGCCTTCCTCTGGTGCTTCTCAGCTCAAACTGTAAACCCTAGACCCTAAACACTAAACCCTTAATAAGTAGAACTACCTAACAGCCACCCTAAACCCTAAACCCTTAATAATAAGTAGAATTACATTAACAAGAATGCCAGAAAAAACGCAGAGAGCAACACCAACAATGATAGAAAAAACAAAAAAAAAACAAACTCCTTTTCCTAAGGCAGACGGCACGCCTTCGCACTTAGGGCCTCCAAACCAGCAGAGGGGCCCACAGGGGCCCCTTAAGGACCGTTGGAGGCGCATCAGGGGCTTCCATAGGCCCGTTAGGGGCTCCCAGGGGCCCCTAAGGGGCCCCCAGGGGGCCCCAAGAGAGCCCCTAAGGAGCCCCCAGGGACCCTTAATCAGCCCCTAAGGGTCCCCCAGGGGGCCCTCATCAGCCTCTAAGGAGCCCCCAGGGGGCCCTCATCAGCCCCTAAGGGGCCCCCAGGGGGCCCTCATAAGTCTCTAAGGGGCCCCCCTAGAGACCCGTAAGAGCGCCCACAGGACTGGTGGGGGCCCCCAATGATCGGGTAGGGGCCCCTAGCTGCAGCACTCTACCTGTGGGGCTTGAGGCATCTGCTGCAGCTAACAGCTCCCGTAGCATTTCGCATGCAGCAGCAGAGTGCAACAAACGCCGAGGGGGCGCCTTACCTCCTTCTTCCTTTCGGTGTCTCTTCCGTGCTCGCCAGGTACTATAACTCTCATCTACAAATAAAACAGGAACTGCTGCTGCTGCTGCTGCTGCTGTTCCTGCTGCTGCTGCTGTTCCTGCTGCTGCTGCTGCTGCTGCTGCTGCCTGTTGCTGCAGTTTCCACCCCAAAGAGAGGTGGCGAGACACCCGACGAGTTTGGAAGCTGCGTAAACAGAATGACAGCAGCAGCAGCTGCAGCAGCAGCATTAGCCTTACCCCACAAGAGAAGGATGCATCAGCGACGGCAGCAGCATCAGCAGCAGCAACGCAAGCCATTACACAGGCAGCAGCAGCAAGACGCCGAGCAGAAAAGCAGGGCATTGAACATACCGCAAGTGGGGAGGGAGACAGGGGTTTAGAGGAAGCCCCAGGAGCAGCACATCTGCTGGCTGCAGCAGCAGATGCTGCTGCAGCAGCTGCAGCAACGAAGGGAGGCCCCGGCCATGCGTCAGCACCTTTAGAGGGGAGACAGTAAACATGCGCGAGATATCAGTATGCAAAAGGAGGGACTCTTGTGCTACTGCAGCTTCCTGCTGCAGCAGCAACTGCTGCTGCTGCTGCTGCTGCTGCAGTGGGAAGTGCAGCGCAGCAGCACCGGCAGCTGCTGCTGCCCCCGCGTGCCTCAACTGATGCCGCCGCACAGCAGCAGCAATGCCTGTTTTTGCTGCCCCCACATCAATAGACAAAACCGTGCTGCACTGCAGCAGCAAATAACGAACACTAGAGCTATCTAACGAATGCAGCTGCTGCTGCTGCCGCTGCAGCTGCTGGTGCTGCTGCTTCAGCCCTGCAGCCTGATCCTTGTGACAGGGAGCCTTCAGCGCGTCTTGAAGCTTCTCATGCTGTTGCTGCTGCTGCTGTTGCTGCTGCTGCTGCTGCTGGTTTGCGGCCTCAGAGTTGAACCACTCTACTGGAGGATCACTCCACGCGTTGCGGGAGGCGTAGCTTGCTGCTGCTTCTGCTGCTGGTGTTGCAGCAGCTGCTGCTGCTGCTGCTGGAATGTCCCCTGCGATCCTCGAAGCAGACAAGCGGAAACAGCAACAGAAGCAGCAGCACCACAGCCAAACTGCTCCGACTAGAAGCCACCACAGGCAGCAAATACGCATTTGGGCGCAGGCATCCTTTGACTTCCGCAGCAGCAGCTGCTGCTGCTGTTGCTGCCGCTGCTGCTGCTGTTGCTGCTGCTGTTGCTGTTGCTGTTGCTGCTGTTGCTGCTGCTGCTGTTGCTGCTGCTGCTGTTGCTGCTTTTGCTGCTGTTGCTGCCATTGCTGCTGCCACTGTTGTTGTTGTGCTGCAACCCGCTACTACTCGAGCCCTGTTCTGCTGCTGCTGCTGTTGCTGCGAGTGCCCCTTGGCTTGGTGGTTGATATTATTTCTGTTCAAGACATTATCAAAGGCATTAATACACAAAAGAGATAAATATAAAAAGATATAAACACAGACTTTTGCACATCTCTTGCAGTGTATTCAGCGCCTGGTTTTTGTGTTGTACTGCGCAGACACCACAACGGCTCTGAACGGGGACGTTTAGAGAAGAAATCTGCAGAAATAAAATAAGTATTATATTTGAAAATATAAATTATATTACTTTAAGCAATAAATATATTCATACAATTTAAATAAAAGGCTGGGGCTGGGTGCGGCTGAGGCGCAGACCCACTGCATGTTTTACCTTTCAAAGAAAATAGGGTTTCAATATCTTTTAAGGTTTTTTATTTAATTATTTAAAATAATTTAAAGAATATTTAATCAGTTTAATTATAAATGCAGAGTGTATACGGAGTATATTATTATAATGAATAGCCAAACAGCATCTTCAGCTTTAATAAGGAGGCAGCAGCAGCAGCTCTCTTGTATATTGTCGCTGCAGATTTAAATTGGTACTAAAATAGTATTAAGGTTTATAAGAAAATAATAATAGAACTTTAACTCTTATAAAGGCCCCCGCATGCAGCAGCAGCAGCAGCAGCAACGCAAGACCGGCGGAGCTGCTGGGGGGCCCCCAGGCTCGATGGCTGCTGCTGCTGCTAGCAGCAGCAGCAGCCCCTCTCAACCCTTGGGGCTCTTGTCTTTAATTTAATTTAATTTAATTTATTTATTCCCTTTTAAGATGTTTATGGTGTACAGACATAACACAACAAGAACTATACGTGCTGCTACAACTTGCTGCAGCAAAGCAGGAGGGCCCAGCCTGCTGGGGGGCCCCAGGCAGAGGCTAGAGGGGGGCCCCCAAGGAGACATCTCTTACTTGCTGCTGTCTTCTTCTTTATTTAGAGTATGCAGACAGCAGTGTCTCTTTTAATTCATGTTCGCTCTTCCGCATAGCAGCAGCAGACTCAGCAGCAGCAGCTGCCGAGACAGCAGCAACAGCAGCAGCAGCAACAGCAGCAGCAAGGGTGTCCTGAGCATCAGAATGAACAGCAGCAGCGGCTGCAGGTGCAGCAGATTGACAGACAATATCTGCTGAGTTAAAGGCAGGTAGAGGGGGGCCCCTCTCTGGCTTCTGAGTCCTGGGGGCCCCCCCCCTTTGTATGGATTTGTTTCTTTGCAGCCCCCTTATCTGCATTTTTTATAGTTGAATCTTTTTTCTTTTTCTCTCTTTCTTCGTTGCCTTCATGCCTTCTGATTCCATTGGGGGCCCCCTCATTTCGGGGTCTATACCCTCGGAGGCCCCTAATCAGGAGGGGCCCCCCACCGCAGGGGGGCCCCCAAGGGGCCCCTTGGGGGCCCCCCTGGGGGCCCCCCTGCCCCGTATGGTTGTGAGGCCGCCATGTAGAGGAGAACTTTTGCTTCCTTATGGTCGCTCGAGACAGCCAAAGGAATATCTTTTTCTTAAATCTGTGATAAAGCCGAAGCAAACTGCAGCAGATATCAATAGGGGGGCCCTCGCAGCCCTACATACACATAGCGTAGGGGCCCCCAATGCGGGGCCCCCAGATGATGCTTATAGGGGTCCTCATCAGCGAATAGAACCATCAGATGAGACCAAAGGGCACGGAGAACCAACGGGCGCTCGAGGCATAGGCAGCGGCAGTGCTGCTGCTGCTGCTGCTGCTGCTGCTGTTGCTGCACCATCATCCTCAAGACACACACCTGCAGCAACAGCACCTACAACAGCAGCACCTGCAGCAGCAGCAGGAGGTCGCCGCATGACCCTTTCGGAGACAGCAGCAGCAGTGGGGCACGGGCTGCCTCTTCGCAGCAGCGCTGCTCAGCAGCAGCAGCAGCAGCAGCAGCAGCAGGGGATGCATTCGCTGCCTACACAAAGAGTAAACCAGCTGGACGCGTTGCGAGTAAACAATGAGATTGTGCTGCTGCTGCAGGACATGCTGCTGCAGTGTACACGTACTGCTGCTCCATGGCTGCAGCAGCGGCAGCAGGAACTGCAGCTGCTGCTGCACCTCTTCCTTTGGGGTGTATCGACAGCTCGAGATAAACCCACACCAGGAGATTTGCTGCAGAATGTTAAGTACTATGGCGGCGAGCAGCTGCAGCAGCAGCAGTTGGAGCAACAGCAACAGCGGCTGCAGCAGCTGCAGCAAGACCCTACTGCAGCTCCTGCTGCAGTGCAGCAGCAGCAGCGTGTGCTTCTGCATTTGATGCTGAAGCAACAGCATTCGCTGCTGCAGCAGCAGCCGCTTCCCTGGAAGCACAAGTTAGGGCTGCTGGTGCTTCACGTGCTGCTGCCCTATGCTTACCAGCTGCTGCGGCAGCAGCTACACCGCAAGAGGCAGCAGCAGCAAGCAGCAATAGAGCAGCGAATACGACGCTACAACGTTGCTCAAGCCCTCCGCCGGCAGCGCATGCAGCAGCAGCAACAGAAGCAGCAGCAGCAGCAGCTGAGGGAACACGCAACGGAGCAGGAGAAGGGGGAGCTGAAGCAACAGGAGCAGCAGCAGCAGCAGCAGCAGCAGCAGCAGCTGCAGCAGCAGCAGCAGCAGCTGCGTTTGCTGGAGAGTGCTACTGGGGAGTCTGTGACGCGTTTAACTGCTGCTGAGCTTTGGCTGGAGTGTATGTACAGGTGGTGCATGTGCGTGGATTTCTTTCTTTCTTTGCTGCAGTTTGTATTTTTTTTTAAGTTTCTGCTGCAAGGCAAATACCGTAGTGTAGGTGAGTGGCTGCTGGGGCTGCAGATGAGACATATTCACCCTTCTCTTCGTCGTTCTTTGTCTTTTGAATTAATGCAGCAGCAGCTCTACTGGCTCAGTGTCTCTCAAGTGCTGCTGCTGCTGCTGCCCCACATCGATCTGCTGCTGCTGCGCCGCATGCTGCGCCTCCGCCTCCTCTCTCCTGCTCGTAGAGCAGCAGCTAAGTCCCTGCAGCAACTCAAGCTGCTTCTCCTCAGGCAGCAGCAGCAGCAGCAGCATCAACTGCAGCAGCGCGACGCCGAATCAGAGGAGAAAGGCCTCGCTGCTGCTGCTGCTGTGCTGCCCTTGGGCATAGGGCAGCGGGGTGTGCTGCTGCTGCGCAGCACGAAGCAACATGCAAAGAAACTCCTACAAGACGTGGGGCTGCTGCCGCATCCATTGGTGATAGAAGAGCAGCAGCAGCAGAAGCAGCAGCAGCAGCAGCAGCAGCAGCAGCAGCAAGGAGTGGAGCCACCGGAAGTGGAACTTGAGCTCGAGGTGAGCAGCAAGACTTCACAGCAGATTATATATTTTTTCTGTCTCCTTCTTCTGTCTCTTTTCCTCTGCTTTGTTTGTTGTTATACTTGCAGTGGTGGCTGATTGTTTATCCCTTTCTTATCTGTCCCCTCTCCGTTCTTCGTGCTGCAGTAGTTTGTTGCTGCGGGGTTCAGCTGCTGCCTCCTCTCCCTGCAGGAGCAGCAGAAAGGCTGCAGCTCGACTAGGCTCGTGGTTTCTCTCTCTTGTGTCTCCTGTCTCTTGCAGCAGTCTCCAATGAAACCATCAACAGCAGCAGAAACACCAACAGCAGCAGCAGCAACAACAACAACAGAGCAACTGTCCCCTGCAGCAACTCCACTCCCCCTGTCTCCTCCCCGTCCCACCCCTCCCCCTGTCGACAAACAGCAGCAGCAGCAGCAGCAGCAGTGTGTATTTTGCAGCAAAGAGCCACTGCTTCCTTTCCGCAGCAGCAACTGTGCTCATATATTTTGTTATTGGTGCGCTGCCTCTCAGCCTGAACACCGCCCTGGGGGCCCCTGGGGGCCCCTAGAGGCTGAAGAAGGAGACCCTCAGCTGCGCTGCCCTAGGTGTGCAGCGACGATAGGCACGCTGCTGTGGGGGGGTTAATATTAAAACAAAACAAGAGAAAATAACAGCTAAATTAATGCATGCAAGCGCAATGCATGCAAACACAATACGCGCATTTACAGAAAAAAAACTATACGCATCACAACCAACTGCATGCCACAAGCCAGAGAAGAATGCTTGCATATATTTATTTTTTATGTATATTCATATACACATGATATATAGACAGGGAGAGAGGAAGGCAGAGAGAATGTTATTATATATATATATATATGTAGCGGAGATCGCACTGTAAGGTATGGCTGTCTACGAAAGCTAGTAAGGGCTGCAGAAGGGTGGTAGCAGCAGCTATGCAGGAGCAGCTTCGCCTTTGGTGTGTGCACTCGATAGACCACTTAGCAGCAGCAGCAGCAAACCAGCAGCAGCCGCAAACCAGTAGCAGCAGCAGCGGCAAACCAGTAGCAGCAGCAGAACAGCAGCAGCAACTGAAGCAATAAAGGAACTAGCGGAACTAGCGGAGAGTTTCTGCCGCAGGTGTCTTGATTCTTTGCAGGGCCGTGAGGAGGCCTCTGCTGAATTCATTTGCTGCCTCTTTGCTGCAGCATCTGCCAATCAAAGCTCTAAAAAGAATGATAGTTTTACTACAAAAGCAGAAGGCCCATCAGTGGGGCCTTATGGTGTCTCCATCTACACAGGAGACAAAGAGAGAAAAAGAGAGGTGGCAAACAGACAGCGAGGGGCCTTACTCCCCTCTCCAACCGCCCACGCTGGAAAATAAATCCTTTTATTTCTTTTATTGTGTTGGTTTTGTTTTGTTTTGTTTGTTTTGTTTGTTTGTTTGTTTGTTGGTTTAGAGACTATTGCTGCGAAAATAGACCTTTTTGCTGCTGCTTAGCGAACCATACTAAGTTGAAGTCCTGCTGATATAAACAAACAGACAACGCAAAGAAACATAAAAACAATATCAGCAAACGACAAAGGAGAGACAAACTGTCGTCGGACCTTTGCAGGAAGAGACCCAATAAACATCACCATTGGCAGCGTGCAGCAGGCTACAGAAGCGCAGAGTATGCATATACATATTTATGCATATATGAATGCATGCATACATACATAAATACATTTGTATGTATATTCATGTACATCTGCACACACGCATATATATATATATATATATATATATATATATATATATGAGACCGCCTTCTGGTGCTGCCTCACCTCTTCAGGCACAACAACAGTTGAAAATTCAGATCGGAGGGAGGATCTGAGAGAAGGGGGCATGTGGTAGTGAGAAGGAGAATGCATCATTGTTGTTGTTGCTCCTGTTGGTTTGCCGCTGTAGGGGTTCGACAGCTGGGCGCTGCTGGTGGAGCCCAAAGACATTCGGCTCAGAGGGTCAGCGGGGGCCCCCATGACGCCCCCGTTGCTGCTGCTACTGCTGCTGCTGCCACCGCCGCCGCCGCCGCTAGAGTATGTTACTACAGGACGCAGCGGAACGCCCTGAGTGTCGCCTACCTCCCCGGAACTGCGGCCGTGCTGCAGCGCTGTCACCTATGAAGACAACGCAGGAGGCGAAGCAGCGCCACAGACAGAGTGCTTAAGAAAGAGGATAAATTCGGAATATAATGCATTTCTCTATCGTTCTATCAAAAATTCCCTTTTTCATGTTGTACCCAAGAAAGGCAGCAACAAGAACAACAGCACAGCAGCAATAGAAGCAACGACAGCAACAACAGCAGCAGCAAGGAAGCCTGACTGACATCTGTGCTGCGTCGAGGAAAGTGCAGATTGGGGGGCAGCGTGTACGCTCCTGCAACGGAGGTGCTGCCAAGGGTAAGCTCTCCATAGGCATCCCCTAAGGCAGTATCGGATGCTGTTGAACGCGTGCGCCTGAAGCGCTGATACACTGGCCGAAAGCGACGTCGCCCAGCTGTCCGCCCCAAAGAAGATATCGGAAACATCCCCATAGCAAACGTCACCCGCTTAGACAGACGCTGCTCCACAAGGTCCTGCGTAGCCTGATGCAACAAACAAACATGCATATATATATATAGATATATATTGTAGATAGAATGATATATATGTATACGCATGCATAAACAGTTACGTATGGGCATGGATACTTATGCAATATATATATATATATATATATATATATATAAAGCAAAGACCCTCATATTCCCGGGATTTGCACTGTAGCGCAGGCAATTTTTTGCCTTTCTCATTGCTGCCACCAAGAGAACTATCGAGGTAGAGATAGGCTCTGGTGGTCTATTTGGAAGGTAAACTAGCAAGAAATGTAGTCAGCTAGCTGGTTAGTTAGCTGGCTAGCTGGCTAGCTGGAGGGCTAGCTAGCTAGCTGACAGGTTTAAACCGCTTACGAGGTCGGCCTCTTCGTCATCGATTTCTGGAACTTGTTGGTCTACATATTTGCGGCTGCGAGAACAGCAGAACACGTGGAGACGCAAATGCTGCTGAAGGAGCGAAGACAGTGCTGCCCTTTCTGCTGCTGCGCAGCGGACAGCTCTGCTGCTAAGAGAGCAGCAGCAACAGCTGGTCTTGCTGCTGACTTACAGGTTTCTCATCTCCTGCACGGCCAAGAGGATAATGCAAATTGCCGTCAACCCAAAACCCAACCCGAAAAGTACAAGAGCTCCTGCGCTGAATCCCTGCACTTCGTGAAACTTGGCGAACCCTGAAGAGAAGACGAAAGCAACACGAAGGACAAGAATCATTTACTGCAAAAATATATACACACACTTAGATATGCATATGGCTGTTCTATACGTAAATAACCAATTTGTACATACTTGCACCAGCAAAAATACCTTTTATACACATGCGCATATTATGCATAAATAAAACTATATTGTATGTAGTTTTATTACACAAGTTGGTAAATTTAATTAATGGAAGCCCATAAATGAAGTTATTTATTGGATCCAATTAAATGAATTTAGAAAATGGCTAAGACAACTAAGACGCATCAGCTCCTTCTGAGGTGGAGCAGTTGATAGAACCGATGAATCAGAGCTCCTGAATTTCTACAGCTGAAACGAAGAGCGACTGCAGGTGCTGCCGTCTAAAGAAGGGCTAACAGCAACAGAGAAGCATTAGGCCGCGCAAGAAGAGACAGAGGCAATTCAGAAACAACCACAATAACGAAAAAGAAAAGCAAGAAGTACCTCCGAGAGTGCCAAAGAAAGTCCACACCACGTAATATGTCGGAACAATCGTCGTTGCATCTCCGCGTGCAAGACCCAAGTTCAAGAAGTGGATCTGAGACAAAGGAAAAAGAAGATACGAACCCACCTTCATCCAACCGGCAGCAGGCGATACACAGGGCTCATATGTCACGAAATGAACATGGATGCATGCGTGCATGCAACAGTTCCTGCCTGACGGGGCTGGGCAGCATTCATCTCAGCTTACCTGCATCCAGACGGAGAGGCCCAAGAAGCAGCACACTAAATACGGCTGCGGAGAGAACCAAATGGAGCTCTGAGTTAACCCGTACTGCATGAGCCCATTCGACACAGAACGCCAAAGAAGCACAAAAGATGAACACCGCAGTACCGGTGCATGCGGGGACCACAGAGGACGGGAGGAAACAGCTGCAGTGTTTGTTTCTTCGACTGAGTCGAGACAAACAACAACCAAAAACAAGGCAAACAAACAGCAATAGCAAAGCCCAACTCACGCGCGCGCAGGTCCCGATCTCCTTGACCTCCAAAATGCATTGCGAACCAACGAGGCCAGCAAGGAAGCCGTAGCACAGACCTGAAAACAGCAAACTCTGCTTTTTTGCACATGGGCAAAGGTAGCTCACAATGTAATACAGTAGAGTGCAGGTGCCCAACTCCGAGTAAATACGTCATCTACTACTATAGTATTGCTTCAGTTAGAATTCTAGATGTACTAAATTTTATTCTACCTTGTTAAGGCACTTTGGTTGTTAATGAGGAACTTTACGTTCTGGACAAACCTAACTCAAACTCAAGAACTGCAGTGGCAGGGGGTGCAGTTCGCTGGAGTGAACCCCAAACGAAACAGCACAAGGAGAGGAGATTTGGGAGGCAGCCGTACCAACTAAACGTGGATAGAGTGTCTGCTTCGTTTGGCTTCTTGGACTCAGCATGGACGCAGGCCGCATCTCCTTCGACGAGTGTTCTCTGAGAGGCACCAGCAAACCAGCAACGCACGGCAAGCAAAGATGCAAGCATGCACAGTGCCCCGGTCTACGTATCTGGCTTGCTTGAGCTGCAGCTGCCTAGCTACCTATGGGCCCCATCTTGCGTTGGTGTCTAAGTGTCTTGCGTTTGCTGCGTACTGGGTGGGGGAGCTGTTGTGGGTTATGAGAGCAATATCTCTATCGGACTGCCTGAGGAGCTGCTGTTCCTTTTCTTCGAGCAGCGCAGACTCAACACTGTTGAGATACACCAGAGCTCCAAACCCCAGGCCGCAGCAGAGCCCCAAGAACGCCAAGTACCAGGGGTCCCTCCAGCTGTACAAACCGATGTAGCGGCTGTCAAAGTCGGAGCCCAAGTCTACGAACTCAGTCCGAGGCAATACAGAAGCGCATGCACACAAGAAAACGCCGAACGCGCAGCCACCTGTAAATAGCAACTCTTGAAACCCAAAGGGTTCCTTCAGCACCGTCTGCCAGACGCAATAACGCAAACGCAAAGGAAATGCCTCTTAGAGACAACAATACGCAGGGAGAACAGAGGGAAATATCTGGAAGTAACAATGGACAGGCTACAACAAATCAAAACTGCACCTCACTGGCGAGCTAGCGAAAGAGCTAGCTAGCTAGCTGGTTAGCTAGCTACCTAGGGATGCGGCTAGCCCCAGCTGGCGGTGCGACTACCTAGCAAGAGACCCACCGCTGACGCGACTGCGTTGGCTATGAGTCCGATGGAGTTCATAGGCGAGAGAACACTTGCAGGAGCGAAGCCCAGGGCCACCACATGCATGCAAGCCCCAGCAACATACGCTGCATGCACAACAGACAGCGACAAAATACTTGGTGCTTTTTGCATGCTCCTGCTGCAGTCTTCTCTTTCTACTTCCCTGCGTACCAAATTGAACGCTTGCTTCTAACTAAGAGCAAAGCCATCGCGCATGCAAGCAGCAGCAAGACTGCGTTTTCTTTGCTTCTTCAGCAGCAGAAACAGAAAAACGAACGAACGAGCGCGTGCGACGAGTAAGGAGCCAGGCTCACCAGCAAATCCCCACAGCCACTGCTGATCGCACGACTGGCCGCGGAGGCTATCAATCTCCTCTACACTCAATCCTAATTTCATTAGAGTGCTGCCTCCAGCCATCAGGAGGGAGCCGGAGAGAGTCAAGAAGACCCCCAGGTACAGACTGAGCCGCGGACTCAGTCGCAGGGATGCTTCGATGTCAGCAGCCCAAGCAGAAATGCCACTTAAACGCCGAGTCGGGGCCCTTGGCACCTCTTCTTCTGCGGTGGGCACCGTCCCTACCTCGGGGGTCCCCCGGCCTTGTTCGGGGGCTCCCTCGGGCGTTTCAAATCTCTCCTCGTCAGTGGCCCCATTTCCTTCAAGCCATGCCCCTACAAGCGATTCTTTCGAGGGCTCAGATGCTGCAGCTTCTGCTGCTGATGGGGAGTTGGGGATGAGTAGGAGGAAGAGCAGCAGCAGGAAGAGGGGCCCCCACCAGACGCCGCCGCTCTTCCCCCGCAGCCAACGAAGAAAAGCCCCTCCATGGCCTACAACAGGGGGTGTACTGGCGTTGCTTGCTGCATGCTGCTGAACATCTTGTCTGGAAGGGGAGCTCCTGCTGCTTTTCTCTGGGGCAGGCGTGGGTTTCCACTCGTGCAGTTCTATGGCGTCGGGCTCAGCCTTGCTGCTACTCCTAATACTACTACTGCTGCTGCTGCTGGGTCCGAAGCTGCTAAGGGTTGTAAGGGATCGAGCGATTGTCCCTGGGCCCCTTGAGGAGCGGCCCTGCAGGTGTGTCGTCATACTGAGTGCTTCGATGCCATGAGACAGCCGAGCTTGCCCTAGTTGACTCCGCAAAATGCAAATAAGCTGATGCTTCTGCTTTTGCTGCTGTTGTTGTAGCTGTTGTTGCTGCTGCACTGTAGCAGCGACTGTGCGCGCCGTGACTGACGATGGGCGGCCAGCAGCGTCGGCTTGAGAGTTTCGGCGGCCCCGATATTCAAATTCTTCTCCTTAAAGATGCAAGCACAAGTGCACGCAAGGGCTAGCTAAATATATGTGTAGAGGGAGGCTGTTGCTGCTGGGCAGCGAAGCCTCACCGATTTGACCGCCGAAGGGGCTCCTGCTACGGTTCTCGCTGGTCTAAAGAGTTGCAGCGAGTGGTGTTGGCGGTGAGCTGACAGTTGTGATAAAGAAAAAACCATTAAAATCTGCACTATGATTTCATTTACTTTTTATGTGGTGTAATATGATCAACCCGCAAGGGAGCCCCGAGCCCTGCCCGCCGCCGTGCTGCGCCAACCGACGGCCGAAGCGGACAGCTGCGGTTGTCTTGGGTGGGTTTGTCTGGCCTATGAAAGAGTGAAATAAGGATAAATATGATTCTTTTAAAACATTCACGTTGTTTTGCATCAAATTTGAAAGTGTATTCAGCCGCTCTTGCCCATAAAACACCAACGACAACCCAAGCAGACGCCACGGCCTCTCGCCGCGAGACCGTCGACGGCGAGTACTGCAGCGCACACCACTGGTCTACCCCGTAAATTATCCTGTCTGTACAAACTGTTGCTTTTCTAAAAACAAGAGTATTTGGGGTTTTCTTGTGTGCCCTGATCGGCCATTCCAAGCCGGGGCTGAGGCTTCAGACTCCCAGAGGAGAAATCGCACGAGCCTCCCACCTACAGAGTTCTGCAACAAACAGGTGAAAGGCAAAAGCAAAGTGTCTGCACCTAATAAAAGCAATCAGTGAGGTGAGGCCTAAGTCAGTTCTATTGCTGCATCGCAGGCTCCTTGGAAGCGGCGCCATTAAACCGCCTCCTTGTTAATGGCGTGGAACAGACAAACCTCCCAACAGAGTGCCTTTCAATAGGCAAGTATTTAAGATAAGCGGAGCAAGTGTCTAATCAAAGAATATGTCTCAGCCAGCACATAGCTTTGCGGCCTTAAGTCTGGCCTCGAGATTTAGCTTTGAGTCCTTTTCATAAGCAGCAGGCGCATTCTACAATGGTACATGCACGTCAACCTGTGTGCAGGCGTGTATTTGAGCCCCCTGCCTCGAGTGAATAAGGCACCATATGTGCTTGTTGTTAGCGAACTTTATAAGGCGAAGCCTCAGTTAGCCCGTTAGGCATATTCAAAAGGAGGGAACAAGGCAACAGCCAAGCTGAAGGATGCTCCCCAAGCCCTTAACCTTCACGCAGTTCCACAGGGGCCAAGTTGTTCGAGGGGGCGCAGATCGTCTCCTAGGTGAAGATGCAGTGAGCATTATTCATTCAAAAGTCTGAACTGCATCTGTCATGCCACTCGCTGCCTAGATCTTCGGCCAGCTTCCCATGGCCTCTGGCGCTACAAGCAACTGAGGGGCTAGCTGGCAGCTCCCGGTCGAAGGGACAAAGTACACCATATGCTCCCTCATCAGAAAAGGCTGCGAATAACTTCCTTCCACCTTGCTGGGCTACAAACAAAGAATCAACATAATATATATATATATATATATATATATATATAT